GACTCGCCCTGCGCCTCCGGACGCCTCGGGATGCTGGCTGCCATCCTCCAGCTCCTCCTCCTTGGTAAGAACCGAGACCGGACCACCCACCCGGGGAGCAGCCCCCAATGCTGCCACTGGGCTGGCCGGTCCAGTACCCTGCTTTGCGACCCGTCGCCCCGCCCTGCCTACCCAAGCCCCTCAGCCTGCTGTCGGCCCCAGCGCTGGCCTCCGCCCCAACCCCTGCGCAGGGCTGCTCTGCTCGTCCTGGTCCTCTGTCAGGCGTCTCCAAATCGCCCTAGTAACCCCACAGGGCCTGCCGGCGGGTCTCACTTCCTGGTCACACACTGCAGTCCCCAGCGCCTCTGCACCTTCCCTGAAGCTACCCGGAAGTCTCCTAGAGTTCAGGTGAAGAAAACTTTACTTTAGATTTAACTCTCCTGCCCTTTCTCGCTGTCCCTCTAGGAGGCGCTCTGCCCCATCCAGACCGGACCATTTTCTCAAATCCTGGTGAGCAGAGGGATTCCCTGTGGTTCTACCTGGGGCTTGGGGATGAGGACTGATCTACTGTGGTTTTAGTGTGAAGACTATTTAGCTTTGATTTTATAGATAGGGAAACCAAGGTAGATTGTGGACCCTCACCTGATTAGGTACCATTTCATTTTTTCCGTGGAATATCCCTGCTCAGTGTCCCTAGCTAGAATATAGTCTCCAGGAGAGGAGAGGCTGTTTCCTGCTCCCATGCCTAGGGGCTGGCATAAACTGACCTGAGCATTGTTTATGGTGTTAATAGGGTGAAGCTATGAAAAGTGTGGAAAGGAGGAGAGAGGTCACTGGGCTGGGGGCTGGGTCCTGCTCCCTCTTGAAGAGCACCATGCCCTCGGAGGCCAGGGGCCTGAGGAGGGGTGGAATGTTAAAGGGTTCTCTACCAGTGTCCCCACCTTCCTCCCTCCAGCTTGTGTGAACCCCCCAGCACTGCTTTTGGAAGTGCAGGGAACCTTACAGAGACCCCTGGGCCGGGAAAGCCGCAGCTTCCCTGCCAACTGTTCCTGGGTCATCCTGGGCAGCAAGGAGCAGACTGTGACAGTCAGGTGAGAAGCAAGGCATGAGCCGGTTCCTTTCCCCTGCCCCTTCTGGGTCCACTGTGGATGTCTTCAGGAATCACTTCTTGGTGCCCTTTCCATTCCTGCCAACAGGAAAAGAGAATTTTATTTGGCCTAGTCTGCCTAAAAGCTGGACTGAGATGGACTTTTTTTTCCTCCAGGGGATTGAATTCATAGTCTTCACACTAAGCTAAATCCTTAGCTCTTTATTTTTTTTTATTTTAAGACAGAATCTTGCTAGTTAAGAAGTTACCCAAGGTGGGCTCAAACTGTCAGTCCTCCTGCCTCAGCTTCCCAAAGTTCTGAGATTACAGCTGTGCACCATCACATCTGGCTTTTTCTTTTTATTCTTTTTTTTTTTTAGGGTATCAGGTAGTCCATCTGCCCTGGAACATGAAATTCTCCTGCCTCAACCTCTTGAGTGTAAGATTACAGGTGTATACCACCACACCTGGCAGAAGTGGCCATCTAGTTTGAGTCCTGGGCATCTCCAAAGGACTGTGGTCACTTCGGAAATAGCCTTGGCCTCAGATAGTATTCTGAGGAGTTCTTCAATCTGTTTGCATCTGTGCCAGAGATTCAGAATTACTCTTAATCATCTTAGAACCTTCCTAAGCTTCAGGTTTTGGTTTTGGTTTTGGTTTTTGTTGGTTTTTTTTTGGGGGGGGGCTTGGTTATTTTTCTTTCTGTGGTGCTGGAATTCAATCCAGGATGTCACACATGATAGGCAAGTGCTCTACCACAGAGCTGCATCTCCAGCTACCCCCATATCTGTTAAATATTCCATGTCTCCCTGGGCTTCTCTGACCTGAGGTCACGGGATGGGGTGGGGGGGTCTATGGTAAATACCTGGCTATTTGCTTCATACAGTTCACTTGCTATGATTTTTTGGGGGGGTACATATAAGGGAAATCAGAGGACCTTGTGCTTTCGAGGCAGGCATGGTGCCACTGAACTAAACCCCTGGCCCCACTTGATATGAATTTACCCAAAAAGGGAGAAAGTCTAGAGAGAGGCTGTTGCGGCAGAGGGAGCTGCATGCCATGAGGGTGTCAGTCTCATTCATCTGGCTCCAGGGGCTCCGGTTAATTGAACTGTCTAGTAATAGTTATATTATGGGGCCATAGTTGGGTGACAATGCTGCAATAAAACTTTTGTTTTTTTTAGTAAAACTTCTTAACTTAAGCCCAGAACACAAGACAGTTATTCCAAAGGGCCGTAGGATATAGCTTATGATCTTGTGGTGCCATGGGCCTCTGTCAGGACTGCCTCCATTGTTTACATTTGGCTGAGTTTTCCATTGGGGGGACAGTACTGGGAATACTGGGGATAGAACCTGGGGCCTTCCTACTAGCTACATCCCCAGCCATTTTTAGTTATTTTATTTTGGGACAGGGTCTTGCTAAGTCACTAACTGGGCTTGAACTTGCAGTCATCCTGCCTCAGCCTCCCAGCATGCTGGGGTTACAGCTCCATGCCCAGCTTGCTAAGTCATGGATTAGCTGTTCTTTGTGCTTCTTGGGTTAGGAGGATCCTGGTGCCTCTAGCTGGAAGAAACAGAAGGCATTTAGAACATCTCATGTTCTGCTCTCCTCTACCTCTGTAGGTTCCAGAAACTGCACCTGGCTTGTGGCTCAGAGCGTTTACTCCTGCACTCTCCTCTTCAGCCACTGATCTCCCTGTGTGAGGCACCTGCCAGCCCTCTGCAGCTGCCAGGGGGCAACGTCACCATCACCTACAGCTATGCTGGGGCCAGAGCACCCATGGGCCAGGGTTTCCTGCTCTCCTACAGCCAAGGTAGGCTGGACAGGAATGTGTGAGGGGCCATTAGAATAAACACTGGAAGCCCCAGGGAAGAGAGAAAACCGAGGACCCTGGTGCCTCACAGTCCCCCTCTCTGGTGCCCCTGCAGATTGGCTGATGTGCCTGCAGGAAGAGTTCCAGTGCCTGAACCACCGCTGTATACCCGCCGGCCTGCGCTGTGATGGGATTGATGCCTGCGGTGATGGCTCTGATGAAGCAGGTTGCAGCTCAGACCCATTCTCTGGCCTGACACCTGCCCCCGGCCCCACCCAATCCTGCAATCTCACCTTGGAGGACTTCTACGGTGTTTTCTCCTCCCCTGGATTTTCACACCCACCCTCAGTCTCCTACCCCCAGTCCCCCCAGTCCTGCCTGTGGCTGCTGGACCCCCACGATGGCCGGCGCCTGGCAGTGCGCTTCACAACCCTGGACTTGGGTGCTGGGGATGCAGTGCATGTGTATGATGGCCCAGGGCCTCCCGAGACCCCTCGGCTGCTACGCAGTCTAACCCACTTCAGCAATGGCAAAGCCGTCACTGTGGAGACTCTGTCTGGCCAGGCTGTTGTGACCTACTACACACCTGCTAAGAACAGTGGTCGGGGATTCAATGCCACCTACCATGTGCGGGGATACTGCTTGCCTTGGGACAGGCCCTGTGGCTTGCGCTCTGGCCTGGGGGCTGGTGAAAACCTAGGGGAGCGCTGCTACAGTGACGCGCAGCGCTGCGATGGTTCGTGGGATTGTGCGGACGGCACAGATGAGGAAAACTGCCCCAGCTGCCCACCTGGACACTTCCCCTGCGGGGCTGCCGGCACCCCTGCTGCCACTGCCTGCTACCTGCCTGCTGACCGCTGCAACTACCAGACGTTCTGCGCCGATGGAGCAGATGAGAGACGCTGCCGGCACTGCCAACCCGGCAACTTCCGATGCCAAGATGAGAAATGTGTCTACGAGACATGGGTGTGCGATGGGCAGCCAGACTGTGCCGACGGCAGTGATGAGTGGGAATGCTCCTACGCCCTGCCCCGCAAGGTCATCACAGCTGCAGTCATCGGCAGCCTAGTGTGTGGCCTGCTGCTGGTCATTGCCCTGGGCTGTACCTGCAAGCTCTATGCCATTCGCACCCAGGAATACAGGTCAGTGGAAGTGGACTGGCTGTAGAAGTGTAGGGACCGAAGGCAAGATGGAACCGTGCAGCTGATGCAGCTGCAGGGAACATGCGGGCACCCACCTTGACTAGCTCTTGGAAAGACCAAGTCTGAACCCTGAGAGCAGTCTCAAGGAAGGAGGGGACATCAGGTGACCTTTAGGCACGCCATAGCGTAGCTCCAGCTCTCCTAGGCTGGTGTAATGGGGAGAGGCCTGCGCAGGGTGGGGCAGGCTGCCCTGATTGGGAACCACCAGTGACTGAGCAGCCCCCGTTTCTCCCAGCATTTTTGCACCCCTCTCCCGGATGGAGGCCGAGATTGTACAACAGCAGGCGCCCCCCTCCTATGGGCAGCTCATTGCCCAGGGTGCCATCCCACCTGTGGAAGACTTCCCTACGGAGAATCCTAATGATGTAAGTCATTCCAGCCCCACTGCAGCCCACACTGCACCTCCTTCATTTACCCATCCAGCCCTTTGACTCTGATCTCTCCACTTCCTGTTCTTGCAGAACTCAGTGCTGGGCAACCTGCGTTCACTGCTGCAGATCTTGCGCCAGGATATGACTCCAGGGGGTGCCTCAGGTGGCCGCCGCCGCCAGCGGGGCCGCTCAGTGCGTCGCCTGGTTCGCCGTCTCCGTCGCTGGGGCCTGCTTCCTCGAATCAACCCTCCAGCTCGGGCCCCTGAGACCAGGCCCCAGGTCACACCTTCCTCTGCTCCCCTAGAGGGTCTGGATGGCAGCACAGGTCCTGCCTGTGAGGGTGGGGCAGTAGGTGGGCAGGATGGGGAACAAGCCCCCCCTCTACCCATCAAGTCCCCCCTCCCATCTGCCAATACAACTCCAGCCCTCCCAACTGTCCCTGAGACCCAGGGGCCACTGCCCTCAGCACCTCCAGAGCCATCACTGTTGTCTGGAGTGGTACAGGCCCTGCGGGGCCACCTCCTGCCCAGCTTGTGGCCCCCAGGATCAACCTGGACCCCGCCTGGACCCCACACAGCAGTCTTGGCCCCAGAGGATGAGGACGATGTGCTGCTGATGCCACTAGCTGAGCCAGAAGTCTGGGTGGTTGAGGCAGAGGATGAGCCACTGCTTTCCTGAGGTGACCTGGTTCCCCTGTAGGCTCTAACACAGTGGCAGACCTGCCAGAGGCTGGCTCAGCTTCCCCATTGACCTGTGTAGCTGCTGGAAGTTAGATGTCCTGCAGACGCGGGGAGGGTTCAGTGAGACCTCTATACAGCCAGAGACCACTGTCGCTCCACCTCCCTCATCCCACGGCCACCCAGAATGTACAGTTCTTAAAGTATCATAGGCCTGGACACTCCATCCTTGCCAAACCCCACCCAGAAGTGGCCTTAAGCTCCAGAATGCCAATTGGTTGGAAACCACCAGCGTCCAAGGGGAGGATTTGGGCAGAGCCAGAGGTTCTGCCAACCTCCATCCCTAGAGGACCTGGTTCACAAAAAGAACACACCAAATACCTCTGTCCCGTAGCTAGGTTGTTGCCCAGGAAATTAAAGTAAAAAATAAAGGAATCATAAGTTTTAACGTTTTGCAAATTAGCTATGAGCCCTGCCTTCCTACCATCTCAGCCTATGTTCATTTCATCTTGTTCCTCCCTGTAGAGGGGCCTTTGCTCAGCCCCCCATCTGCTGCCTTCTTTTTGTTCATCCTCCAGCCACCCTACTCTTGATTTTTATGTTACTCAGAAGGTAAGAAAACTCAAGGAGCCCTCAGGACCAACTCTGCACCTCTGCTTGCTGCCTGGGGCCCAGCCCTCCAATAAGGGACACCAGGAACGAGCACCAAGCTTCTATTCAGTGCCAGGCCAGAAGTCAGGAGCCAGCAGGCCTCTGCAGCTTGGAAGGCTCTCATTTATGAAGTGCGCTCTGAGCACAGATCACAGGAGCAGCCTGTCCCTGGTGGAACACAGGAGCTGTGACTTCTGCCCTCCACCCTCACCAGGCACTTACAGTCTGTCCTGTGCAAGGCAGATGAGCGCTCAGCCTAGCTCCCTCAAAACATGCAAAGAGTAGTTGAAGGGAAAACAAATCACAAACATTCAGGTTGTGAAAGGGTTGGCATCACCCTGACCAAATCCTAGAAGTCTTCCTGGAAGAGGGCTCAAGCTGAATTCTAAAAAATGTTCTTAGCCAGGTGTAGTGGTGCATGCTTATAATCCCAGCATTTGGGAGACTGAAGCAGGAGAATCACTCAAGTTCAGGGCCAGCATGAACTACACAGACCTGTCTCAAAAAAACAATGAAAAGATGCTCTCAGCAGTTAGTATAGAGATGAAAATTCTAAGCAGGGCAGGCAAATTAAAGAGATAAGGGCCAGACTCTGGACCTGAGAGAAGGCAACACAAGCAGTGGCCAGAGCCAAAGAGCCAGGGAGGACTGCTGAATATTGGAACCTTGTCTCTGGGAAGCAAAGTGACGGCAGCTGCCCAAGATTTACAGCATACCTCTCAGGAAAGAAGCTGAGGCATTCCCCAGCAGAACCAAGCCCCTCCCCTGCCTTTGGGGAGAGCCAATCCCCAGCCCTCTGGCGGAGCGGGCCTATTGATTACACCCTGTCAGCATCCTCACCCCTAGCAGTAATTACACAATTTCCTCTCTCCTAGTGAGCAAGAGCCTGAAGAAGCAGTAAAGGGGTTGTGTGCCCATGCACATCCTTGGGATCTGGCGTCTTGGCTCAGGGAAGATCTTTCACTCCCTGAGTTCCCCAGAGATTGAGGAAGGGCCTCTGGAGAACGTTGTTCCTGCTTACAGATCTCCCTCCCTTAGGACCTCTTTCCCCAGTGCAAACAGCCCTTGGATCCAGCCAGCGTCAGGCTCCCTGAGAACTGAAGCGGGAAGGGCTGATTTTCTCCTCTGTCTACCACCTGGCCTGGCTCTTCCTCCACAGCCATCTCAAAATTCTGTAAACTGATAATATTCATCCCTTGACCTGTTGCAGATCTTTTTTCTTCTAGGGGTATTTCTAACTTGAAAGTGGACAGATTGAAGATAAAAGTACTGAAGGGATGATGAGTACTAAAGGAATGATGGAGGATTGACTTTAGGGCAATGCTTACTAAGGAGGTCTATGCTTATAGCTAAATGGCCTAAAAGAATTTTCTCTAGGCATTTGGTGCACACTCTGCATGGTACAAGCAGTAATACTACTTTGCCAGACATGGTGTGGTCCAGGGTAGAGAGAGGGAATAAGCCCCCTTGAACAGGTCACATAGGGAAGCTAAGATAAAGGGTCCTGTCCAAGTGAGGTGGGGATTGGGGGCACACAAGTTTACTTTCAATGAGGCCCAAGGAAAAAGAAACAAGGTGTTACTCAGCTTTTTCTCACTAAGTAATAGCGATATCCAACTTAGAGAAAAGAAGGTTTCTTTCTGGTCAGTTTTGGCGATTTCAGGTCATGATAGACACTGTTGACCCAGGCACAGGGCACCACATCATGGCAGGAATTCAAGGAATGGCAGAACCATTCACCTAATGCAAAATGAAGAAGAGAGACTGGGGTCCCCTGGTTCCCTTTAAGGGCCTTTCCCCCATGATCTAAACCCCCTAGGTCTTACCTCCTGATAGAGCCAAGAGCAAGGGGCCTCTTGGCACATTCCACATTCAAATTCCGGCATGAAGCACCTCAAAGTCCTGTTAGGGCATGGTGGCGCATGCCTGTAATCCCAGCACTCAGGAGGCTGAGGCAGGAGGATCACTGTGAGTTCGAGACCAGCCTGGGCTACACAGGGAGTTCCAGAGCAGTCTCAACTACATAGTGAAACCCTGTCTCAAAAAAACAAAAACAAACAAAAGATAGACACCACTCTCCAAGGTGCCTTGTCTCAGGGCCCAGCAAGGCTCTTTGTGAGGTAGGGGTTCTCAGCAGATGAGGATCAAGCTGTGGATTTGAGTCTGAGATAACAGTCCTTAAAGTACAAAACTGTCTTGAACAAGGCTGTAGGCCCTGCTGGAAGGGGAAGAGATTGCCAGCTATACAACCTTAAACTATGGACGCACCAAGGCCTGAGCTGAGTGCCTGCTGGGCTGGATCCTTTCCCATATGTAGTTAAGATCACAACAGAGCTCTGCTATGGGCTTTTTCAACCCTTTCCTAGGTTCAGGACTCAGACCTGGCTTGATCTGGTTCCAGATATCTTTATCCCACTATTCCAAAGGGTGCCTGCTCATGGGCAAGTGCTCAGTGGAAGACCATGTTTAGCTCCCTCTTACTAGCAGGAGGAGGGAAGAGGTTGCTCAGAGAAAAACCCAGCGTGCTTCTGTGGCCTAGGACTGAACTGATTGAGGCAAAAGTCAGAGTAGAAAACTTGCTGGTTTCAATCCCCAGTACTGGAAAAAGAAAAAAAGAAAAGAAAATTTGCTGAAGTCTGCAGCCACTGATTATTCTTTTTTTTTTTTTAAGTGAATAAAGTTTGTTTTTACGATGGTTATCTTTGCAATGCCACAGTTACGGGACTGTGAAGAGGCAAACTGCTGATTATTCTTACCTGGTATAGAAATGAATCCGACTACTCAGATGAGTTTTCCAGGTAGATAGATATTGCTCCTTTATAATACAAACCATATACCAGGACAGTGTCTCATACCTGTGTTCCCAACTTCTGAGGAAACTGAGTCAAGAGAATACTGAGTTTGAGTCCAGCCTGGGAAACTTAGTGAGATCCTGCCTCAAAATACAAAGATCTTGCCAGTGCAGTAGTACACGCCTGTAATCCCAGCACTTGGGAGGCTGAGGCAAGAGGATGGCCATGAATTCAAGGCCAGTCTTGGCTACACAGTGAGTTCAAGACCAGCCTGAACTACATACTGAGATCCTGTGTCAAAATAAAATTTAAAATAAAACAATTTAGGGATGTAGCTCAATCCTACAGCACTTGCCTGGATTGTGCAAGACCCTGGGTTTAATCCCCAGCACAACAAAACTTCAGAAAAAGCTTATTCTGGAAGGAGATCATTCTATAATTTATACTAATCTTCAGCAGATCTGCAATGTAATATGTAAGTTTTTCTAAATAGCTGAGGATAATTCATAGAAACCGATGGCTTCACTAGACCAACGTCTTCAGAGGTTATAACTGTTGGGGTAGACAGTGCTGTTTGTCCATAGTTAAAAGTGACCTTAGACCACTGATGGCAAACCTTTTGGAGGTCTTGATTTTTTTTTTTTTTTTTTTTTTTTTGTGGTACCGGGGATTGAACTCAGGTCCTTGCACTTGCGAGGCAGGCCGCTGAACCGCTGAGCTAAATCCCCAGTCCCTGGAGGTCTCGATATGAACAGCCTGCTGTGGCACATGTGCCATAGGTTTGCCACTGCTACCTCAAACCATGACCTTAGACCCTGTTTAAATGTTTCTTTTGGGGTTGGAGGACGTTTGGGTTTCATCTCAGTGGTAGCACACATGCCTAGCACAAGGTCGGATCTTCACCATAAAACAAGAAAAAACAGTTGCCTCCCTTGCTACTAGACTGTAAGATTCACTTGCTGCTCTAAATGTGCTTCTGATCTATTACTACAGGAACACACACGGACACATAAAAATTGCGAATAAAATAAGAATAAATAGGCTGTAATTAAGGACTGAAAATTTTTTTAAAAACTGAAAAATCTAATGAATACATGAGTATTTTAGCTGCTGAGGAGTCCCTTCTGCTCCCTCTAGACTAGATCCTTCCCTTAGCCCACCTCCAGATAGTGTCACTGCACATTATTCCCAAGAGTACTACTTGCCTCTTCCATTGGAATAGTCTGAGGATGGCAAAATAGACTGTTTCCAATAAAAGACAATATATAAGACAAGGAAAGCAGCATAGCTTTGTGTGTGTGTGTGTGTGTGTGTGTGTGTGTGTGTGTGTGTTTATGCCCAGGATCGAACTCAGGTCTATTGCGCTTCATGAGGCAGGCAGCAGAACCACTAAGCTAAATCCCCAGCCCAGAAATCAGCCAAGTTTTCAAGTGTAAAACAAACTGGCCTTGGAAAGGTCTGGGTGAGCATTCTGGTGACCTCCACGGGACTGCTTTAGGGACAGGTCACCCACCTACCACTCTGAGCCTCAGAGGCATGAAAAGGAAATAATGCAGAAAAGTGCCTGGCACAGCACCTGGCAAACAAGGTAAAGAGGGAAGAAGAAA